AATGAGAAAAGTGGAGAGACTGGTGGTGTGTTTTGGGGGATAGGCAACCAAGTGGTTGAGTTGGTCTTATGATAAAGTAACCAATGGAATAGAGACACTTGTCTCCATCCCATTGGTTCATCTTTTTTTTTCTAATAATTTTTAAACTAATATATTTTTTATATAATCAAATAAAAAAATAAATAAATATACCAAAATTCATAATTTTTAATTCTCTACAAATAGAGATCAATTTTGCTATACTTATTTTTTATTTTTAAATTGACTTAAATATATAATTTTTAATTCTCTATCATTTAATTTGCACTAATACAATGAAAAAAGTAACAGTTTTTAAAATATGAATATATGCACTAGACCATATATGGTCTAGAGTGTAACTTTGCACTAAATGTTACATCTATCATAATTTGCACTAATCTATATATATATTAAAAGCCAACCTATTTACCAAAAATAGTAGCAAGAAAAGTTAACATACATTTAATGCATACCTAATTTGGAAATTTTTTACTATATGCATTAAATGCTTGCATATTTACATTTACTATCCAAATATGATTAAAGATTTTTTCCTTAAATAATTTATGCAATGATTTAATTGATATCCATTATAATTAATATTTGTCGAGTAATATTTTTTAACATTTATTTAATTATATAAAACTAATATTTTTTAAAAAAATAATATTATTTATCATTTAAAAGATAATGAGCATATCATTAAATAATTTTATTGATGGTTAGATAATATAATTATATTAGTTATTCTTTAAAAATTTAACTAAAATAAAAACAGGTTTTAAAAAAATTTCCATAACATTCGATAAGTCAAAAAAAAGTACGTAAAATCTTTACTAAAATAAAAAAAAAAACTTTATTTATTTGTCTTATTCCATAATAACATCGATTTAGTCAAAACAAACACCATAATCAGTGAAATCAAAAAATGTACGTAAAGCCTATTTATACTAAAAAAAGCAGATTCAAAATTCTTTATCTAATTTCTGTTTAAAGCATTTTATTTAATATTTATTTATATGAAATATTGGATAGAATTGCTGGATCTGAGTCAATTTTAAAATCGCGTTGTTTGGTATGAGAGGATTATCCACATCCTATATCTGTCTAAAGCATATTATTTTATATTATTTAATTAATTTCTTTAATATTAAATTTTTTTATCCATGACATCAGTTTTGTCAAAAAAATTGAACAAACAAACAAATAAAAAAGGAACGGGATTAATTACCTTCGACTTGTAAAAAATTTATGGGTGGACGTAAATATTTAACAATGTTGTTTCAAGTTCCTTAAATAATACTATAACTATGATGTTGAAATATAATCTGTTTTATTAGTGGCGTAAATATGTTGTTTAAAGTTTCCTAAAATAATTTTTTAAAAATTATCTTGTTTAAAGTTCCTTAAATATTAATATATTTAAAGTATGCACATGCTGTAATATATTAAAGTCAAAACAATGTTGGAAGGCTTTTGAATTATCTAATTTAAATTATCTAAATTTTTTATTTTAAATGTTTAATCCCATTAAATCTTCAATCCATGGAATATTTTACTAATCCCGTGAGCATGTTGTTTTGTTATTGTAATCAACTTATACACTATTTTACTAATAAATTATTTAATATCTATGTACAATGAGGTCTTTAATAATATATGAGTTTTTTTTTTTTTTTATCGGATACTATTTTTTTGTATAATTTTCATACGTACTATATAAAAGTTTTATTGAATATTGCATCTTATAATATAATATTCCCCAAATAAATATATCCCGTGTCTCGGCACCGGTCCCGTACTATATATATTATGTACATTTTTTTATTCATTTATATAATTATAAGGCTGGATAAATAACTTTATTGTGCACCCCGTGCATCGCACGGGCTCTGTACTAGTACAATAAAAAAAAGTAACAGTTTTTAAAATGTGAATTATGCGCTAGACCATATATGGTCTAGAGTGTAAATTTGCACTAAATCGTATATTTTCAATAGTGTTCTAAGTTTCATGTGTGTTGTAATTTTTAATTTTTCATCTTGTGTGTTGTAATTTTTAATTTTTCATCTTGTGAATTGTAATTTTTAATTTTATTTGTGTGGTGAAATTTTAATTTTTAATGAATATTTATTTCTCCGATTTTATTATATATAATTAAAAGAAAATAAAAGAATTAAAAAAATAAAAAAAATATAATAATTAAATAAAATCAAATCAAGAAAAAAAAGGTTGTGGTTGGATGTTGGTGTGGTTGCTGATAAACTTGCAAAACTGAAACGGTGTGGTTGAGATGATTATTGATGATGTGGAAAAGAGAGGAAGTAATTAAATATTAGGGTGATTGAATGGTTGGGTGTTTGGAAAGGTCGTATCTAAGGACATGTAGCATTCCTCTTCTTAAAATCCAGACTCCATGCATCCACCCCATGTCCCTTCGATCAACTTTTCCCACTCTCTCTCAAGTTCTCTCTCTCTCTCTCTCTCTCTCTTTTGTTAATAAATTCAGAATTTGGATCGTCTTGCTGTGAAGATTCACCTCTGATTCTGGCCGAGCATCTTGTTTCCAGTAAGTTTCTTCGTCTTAAGATTCTCTGTGGCGTCGTCTGTCTGTGTGTGCGTGCTTGTCATAAAAAACGGCTTCTGGAAATTTTTATCGGCGTTGCGGCTTGTTGTGCGCTGCGATTAAAACTGTTATAATATGATAAATTCGGTGTTCTGAATCTGAGGGGATTTTGTGACCATTGAGTCATGTCGGTGCTTGGACGGAGAGAACAACCGGCGGCAGGATGCACTGTAGTTTCATCTAGCAGATAATGCAGATAATGCTATCTTTATAGAATGTAGGAGTGGTGTGCATTGCAGAACTCAGTCAACTTCTTGTGGTTAAAATTTCAGGTCTCGAGCAGTATGTATATAGAGATTCAACCTCGCGAACTTAAGTTCTTATGTAAGTGTAATTAGTGAAATTTGTTGCCTTGGTAATTATGATGAGTGATGCTATTCGTTCGTTTTATTGGGCGTATCTTATTGCATCATTATCGACGTTCAGACATAAACATAAACATTAGAAAAAAAAAATAGGTAAACTGTATTTCTGAATATGTGGCTAGCACCGGTATTTTGGCTGCCCGTACAGATGATTCTTTTTCTGTGGCTATTTTACTGTTATGTAGACATAATAGCCTCAGCTTAGAGTGCCTAGCACCGATATCTTGCTATGAGTTACTTTATGCTTGCAGAGGAAGAAGCCTTATGCGAAATGGTACTTCATTATATTCAAAATTTGATGAATGCACTTGCAGCATCACGGTTTTATTTCTTTAACTTAATTACAATGTCATTTTAATATAGTGGTCTCAAGATATAAACTAGTTAGCTTAATTACAATGTAATTTTAATTTAGTGGTCTCAAGATAGAAACTAAGATGGTGAAAGTTTGAAAAGTTGAGATATTGGGCAGAATTATTTTTGAAACACTCATAGGGGACTTAGTCTTGCATGAAAGGTCCACTGAATTAGTCTAAATGATACCATAAATACTCATGTTGCAGCAAGATTTTTTTTGAGCATGCAGGCTAAATTAAGTATCTGTGACTTTATCATTCTCACTTAGAACATGATTCAATGTTATATGCTATCTTTAGCATAGATGTTATACTATCTTCTATTTTTTTTATTATTTATTTATTTTCATATTGTCTGCGAACCAGCAACTTGTTTATTATAGATTTGACCAGCTCTATAGTCTATATATCATTTGGCTATCCTGTTTGTTGGTTTGTTTAGTCTGACTATCCAATTGACTTCTATAGTTGAAGTGAAGAAACAGAGTTCATGTGCAGTGCACCTTGCCAATGTCACTGACCAGTATGTAGCTTTCAAGGTTTGCGGTTGCTCTATCTCATGCCCTTTGTTATGTTACAAAAGATTACTGTTTGCTTCTAAAATAAGCATGGTTAGTTTAACACTTCTAATTATGTATCTTATCTTCGGAGAAATTATTGGAATGAATATACGATCACTATGCAGGTTAAGACTACAAATCCAAAGAAGTACTGTGTGAGACCTAATGTCGGTATATTAAAGCCAAAATCAACATTTGATTTCACAGGTATTTAAGTTTGCTTCTGTGTACAGACCAATAAGTTTCCAGTGTGCTTCATCTCAGTCTTTTGATTGATCTTCGGTAAAAATTGTTGTTTTTCTTTGTAATATTGCATGTTGCATCCCTATAGTTGTCTATCTGGAATCAATGATATAAAATTTCAACAATGAGTAAAGGCACAGTAGTAAATATTTGACTGGAGTCTCACTTCTTTGTTGACCAGTTATCGAGCAGTAGTGAGTTGACTTGCTTATTTTTAATTATTTCCTGGCATACCCATCTTGTGCAGTTACCATGCAAGCACAGAAATCAGCTCCCCCTGAGATGCAATGCAAAGATAAATTCTTGATTCAGAGCACGGCGGTACCGCTTGAACATTGTACCTGGCATGGTAGGATATCAACTTTAGTAAGTTGGATTTTTGAGATGTTGTCAAATCTCATTACGTCGCATGCTGACCTGTTAGTTGAGAATAGTGCATTCTCATTAAGGATTCTTCTTTTTTCTTCTGCAGTTCGTAAAGAGAGTGAAAAATATATTGAAGAGGTCAAGCTCAGAGTTAGTCTTAGTATTGCACCCGATTATCCAGAAAAGCCACTAGCGAATGTAGTTTTGAATCAAGAATCATCTTTCAAGTCTTCTAGACCAAAAGAAGTCAATGCACCTGTTTTGCTGCCTGTTATTGGAGCTACTAAGCAAGAGCCATCCTATGAGTCTGTCATCCCGAAAGAGAAATTGCACAACGGAGTTGAAAATCTCCCTCATAATGACATGGTGAGAAATTTCAGCATCGCGTCATTGTAATTTAGTTGATAAATGACACTATTGAGGCGACTGATTCCTTATTCAACACATAAAATTTGATAAGAATCCATTCTATTTACCTTGTTCATCACACAACTTATTTGTTATTATTCTAACTACCTTTTCTTATTGGAGAGAATCACATGTTAATATAAGTAAATATTTGTACACACTGGACTCTTATTGTAACATTTCTTTTTCTGCGCGTGAAAGTTATTGTTTTTTTTGAAAAAAAAAATCATGGAAAACTCTACATACAAAACTTATTTAAGTTAAAATCTCTCTTTCTTGCCAGGTAACTATGAAACTGGAGTCGATCATAAGTGTAAAAAATGTGGAAGAGTTCGGATTGGTTATGATTATGGATGATATGAAGACAGCTCTCCCCAAGGATGAGAAGTTTTACCTAGTCAAGGTCAAGGATGAGGTGAAGCCGGTGAAAGATTTAGACGAGACAAACTTAAAGCTTATGAAAGATATTGAAGAATTGAAATCAAAGATTAGCGCGATGGACTCTGAGCTAGTTAAGGTGAGTACTGTGTTATGTCATACGAATCTCAGATGTGAATGTGCTTTGAAGCTTCATATAGTTTTTTTTTGGAATATTAAGAACTATATCATTAACCTCAGATGTTTGTATGTACTACAGAGATTAATGTAGGAACAATATAATGAATGTTGTGCTTGTACTACTGATATACATTTTGACTTAGTTTCGTGATGTAGTTTAATTGATGCTGGAATGGTTAAATTTCAACTGATGGGAATTCAAAATAATTGTTATTATATGTTTTTTTTTTTTGCAGGCAAAGTACATGATTGAGAAGTTGAACGAGGAAAAGAAGGCTCAAACTGAGAAAAAATGGTTTTTTCGATGAAAGATTTATTAACATTTGTGGTTTGGGCTGTTTGGCAATAGGAGCAGTGGTGGGTTTGTTAGAAGTAGGGGAGGTTTTATCATTTTAGGTATGCATTGTTTTGTTGTTTGTTATATTTCCCAACTTTGCATAGGTTGAATATCAAGTGTTTATGCTTGGATATAAATTTTTTTTTTTTTGATTTTGTTTGGATTTTTCGGTTTGATTTGGTAAAACTTAAAAAAAAAAAAGTGGTATGGTTAATTGTTAGTGGATATATTAAAGTAATTAAAATTGATTTGATGTAAAGTATGAGAGAGATGATTTGAAGTAATGGTTAGTTAAAATTATGTGAGTGGTTAAATAGTGAATTGGATTTTTTTTTAAGCTCGTGAATTGGAGCTGATGTTATATGTAAGAATGATTCATTGATATTATTTAATTATATTGATAATGTTGACGGTAGTATGGTTGAGTTAAAAAAAGTGATTGAGATAAAAATGTTGGGATTTTTTTGAAATTTTTTGTATCCAAGCATCCTAGTGTTTTGTCTTCCTTTTTTTTTTTTTCCAAACGCGCAAACACTTATATAAATATAAAACTCAAAAAGAATACAAACGAGATGTCAACTGACACTAAAGAACTAGATAACTAGACTTACCATCTTGAAATACCAGAGGGATCCAAGAGGTACAACTCCATCAAGGAGGCAACCACTAAAACAAAACGAAACTCCACAAAGGAGATAAAACCATTTGTTCTGAAATAGAACCGCTTTGGTTTGAAAACGGGTAAGAACCACTTGAACTAGTTAAAAATCGGCAGAACCGTAAAACTAATACTGTAAAACTAATACCGACCCACGCGGCCAGCGGTCCTGTTACTCTTGTGATTGAAGTGGTAGTAAGAGCATCTCCAACAGTCTGTCAATTGTAGGATTGTAGAAGCTATACGATAAAAAAGCTTCTCCAGCGGTATTTTTTTTTACTTCTATTTAGACTGATGTGGCATGAAAGAGATAGAATTATTCTAGAAGTCTTTCTACATGTGAAAGTACTTCTAGATGTTAATTTTCCTTTGTTTTTTTTTTTTAATTTTAAATTATCCTTATACAATTCGTAAATTTTAATCTAAGTAGTTGATTAAAAATTATAATTTGTTGATATTTATTTGTACACACTTTATCAAAGACAAATTAATTTACATAAAGATAAAAACAAATTAATTTACATCAAGGAAATTAAAAGAAAAAAATTGAAAAACTTCTAAAATCATATTATAAATTTAATGATATATATTTTGTTATAATGATGTATTAAAATACATAATAAAAGGAGATTTTAAGAAAAATATCGATATAAAAATATCTATTATAAATTTAATGGTATATATTTTGTTAAAATTATGCATTAAAATACATAATAAAAACCCGCATTATACAATACAATATAAAGCTCAGTAGCAATACAATATGAAGCTCAGTAGAATAATAATTTATATTTTGTTACTCTTCAACTGTGAATAAAATTTTTGTGCACTATATATCGTTGAAATTCGACCTGTAAATTTTATTTTGACTTTTTCTAGAACAACAAAATAAAAAAAATAATAAAAAAAAAGTATATAGACATTTACTGTGTGTAGACCATTGGAGAGTTATTTATTAACCTGTGATTCTATTCTATTCACGTGGAGAGAAGCCATCTATTACAGACAACAATTTACTTCAACCATTGGAAATGCTCTAAAGTCAATTAAATAACTAACTTGTTTTCTTTCTTTTTCCTATGTGGACTTGTTCACAGCAAATATAGATAGCCAATTTATTGGGCCGCTAACGGGCCTAGTTTCTTTATTATAACTTCTTTCAAAGAAACTATAGTAGCTACACCATTACCTTATTGGGCCACATAAACAAGTAAATGTATACAGATGCATGAAAGTTTAAAAAAAATCCAAATTTCACATCAAAATTACTTCTTTTTAAACTTAATTTTCAAAAAATAGAAAAAAAAAAAAAACAGTCCCTTTCCCCTCTCCCCTTTATTTATTGCGCGCATGAGGCAAAGAAATCTATAGTAATATAAAGAGGTTGTTGGAAAAATACAAAAATAGTATGTTTGACTTAAAAAATAAAGTTTTGACTTACTACTTTAAGCAATAATTACTACTTTAAGTAATGACCATGTAGGTCCCACACATTAAACTAATTAGCATAAAATTATGGAATACATTTAATCACGGAATTAATCATTAAATCTCCTAGCATTTCGGATTTTGTTACAAAATTTTAATCGGATTTTCTTAGATTTATTCTTTCACAAATTTCATAACTAACACAAATATCCATAATAAATGAATCACGTTTCTATTATTGTTACAAAATTTTATCTTCAACAAACTCCTTAACAAACTCCTTTTTTTTTAGATAATTTTATAGAATATTGACAAGTCATATTTTTTGGTAACTAATTTGATCCTTTTTCTATTTACTAACTAAATCTTGTGAATCTATTTGAATTTACAGATTTTTAGGTTCGAAAATTGAAATCATTGATATCCCATAAAAGTTGAAAATAATTTGAATTTGAAACATGTGAGAATTAAACATAATACACATATTAAAACATACTTTTGGTAAATCTACAAATTTGGTTATTCAAAAATTAAAAAATGTGAGATTTGAACATGAATAATCAAATGTAGTTACCAAAATTATTTGATTTTTGTACTACAAGTATAATAAAAACATATTTTTTCTACTTTTATGGGACAAATATTTGGTAGAACAAAATCAATTGATATCCCACCAAAAATTTTGGTCAATCAAAATGAAATTTAAATAATTTTGGTAAATCAAAATCAAATAATTTGGAAAGCATTTAACAATAGATGTTCAAATAATTAGTGGGTATTAATTGAATTTGGTATCTTTTTTTTTTTAAAAAAAAAGAAAATTTATAAATATATGATAGGAATAAACTTTACTTAAAAAAGTAACTAAAATCTCACCAAAAAATGTCATTCTTACTATTATTCATATATTTTTTTTCGATTTTTATTAATGGGCGGCGGGCTTTCAATTTGAAATTCAACTTATGAAAATATGTGATAAATATTGAAAACATCTAATTTTATGTTCACGGCTTGATATATATTCAAATTCAAACGCAAATTAGCTATAAAATCAATCATAAGATATTCATGGATAATTGCTACACAATTTTTTTTTGATTGTTTGGAGTTAAATATTGCAGAAAAAATCTCAAGATTTGTTCAATGATACATATCAAAATAAAAATATTATTTTTCAATTAATCCAAAAAGCCTTATCAAATCAAACTGTAACAAACTCTATTAATTTTGGTAAACATTATGTCATATTGATATGACATATAATCTTCAAAATTAAAGATTAATTGTATACTTACTAATATAATCATTATCAATGGGTCTCACATGTCAACCAATTTAATTTAATTTTGGTAACAATTTGATCGAATTTTAATAACAAATATCGGATTATGTTAACAAATTTGATCAGATTGTGAGAACAAATCTCGGATTTTGATAACGATTTTTTTAATATATCCCCTTTTTGAAGACACATAGTTATATACACACAATATATTGCCGATAATATTTGAAATTTCTTTTGGTAACAAATTTCACAATTCTTTTTGATTGCTTGGAGTTAAATATTGCAGAAAAAAATCTCTATATTTGATAAAATATTCACATCAAAATAAATATATTTTTTTCAATCAATCCAAAAAGTCTTCTCAAATTAAATTGTAACAAACTCCTGTAATTTTGGTAAACATGTGACATTGATATGACACATAATCTTCGAAATAAAAAATTAATTATTGACTTACTAATATAAGCAATATCAATTGGGCCTCACATGTCAACCAATTTTAATCAAATTTTGGTAACAAATTAGATCTTATTTTGATAACATATCTCGGATTTTGTTAACAAATTTGATCTGACTGTGATAATAAATCTAGAATTGTGATAACAAATCTCGGATTTTGATAACAAATTTTTTAAAATAACGGTATTCTTTGTAACACACTTTATAGTTATTTACACACAATATATTGTCGACAATCTTTGAGATTTCTTTTGGTAACATATTTCACATTTTTTTCATATAGATTAGAGTTAAATATTGCAGAAAAAATCTCGAGATATGATAAATGATACATATCAAAATAAAAGTATTATTTTTTAATTAATCCAAAAAGACTTACCAAATTAAATTGTAACAAACTCCATTAATTTTGGTAAACATTATGTCACATTTATATGACACATAATCTTCCAAACAAAAGATTAATTGTTGACTTACTAATATAAGCTTTATCAATGGGCCCCACATGTCAACCAATTTAATCGATTTTGGTAACAAATTTGATCAAAATTTTGATAACAAACCTCGGATTTAGGTAACAAATTTGATCTTATTTTGATAACAAATCTCGAATTTTGTTAACAAATTTGATGTTAACAAATTTGATCTGATTGTAATAACAAATCTCGAATTTTGATAACAAATATTTTAATATATTATATTTTTTGTAACACACTTCATAGTTATTTACACACTATATATTGTCGATAATCTTTTGGATTTCTTTTGGTAACAAATTTCACAATTTTTTCGGATTGTTTTGAGTTAAATATTGCAGAAAAAATCTACAGATTTGATAAATGATGGATATAAAAATAAAAATATTACTTTTCAATCAATCCAAAAGCCTTGCCAAATTAAATTGTAACATACTCAATTAATTTTAGTAAACATTATGTCACATTTATATGACACATAATCTTCAAATAAAAAATTAGTTATTGACTTACTAATATAAGCAATATCAATGTGCCCCACATGTCAACCAATTTAATCGATTTTTGGTAACAAATTTGATTGGATTTTGATAACAAATCACGAATTTTTGTAACAAAATTGATCTTATTTTGATAATAAATCTTGGATTTTGTTAACAAATTTG